AATAAATATTTGTACCACTTCTGAAACTACTCACAATTCCCCCAAACATGTTGATACAGAAAGCCACCCTTCCGACTCTGACTTTTCCACACCATCTCAAGTCAACTTTCCAACGCCTGAAGTCTGTGCCTTTCTAGAAGACATGCAAAATCCACTAACTCCACCTCACCAACCTATCATTGATGAACCTGTCTTTGATGAGTTCATGGAATGAATAAAAAACAATGGACCTTTTATCCCTGATTTTTCTGACCTTACCATTAACATTTCCTCTTATACTAAGATTCATTCTGAACCTAACCCTAACCTTGAGGAATTTGATGATTTAGTCAAACAATCTGAATCAGAGGTTGAAGTCATTACAGTCCCAAAAAGGAACTCCCACCCATATTCCACTCTATCTTCTATTCAAACCAACATTCGTCCTGCACCCTTGGATGAACTGTTTACTCACTTCGAAGATGAGGCTGTTGGTAGACTTGATGCTCTCATTGAGGCTTGCAGTGATAATGCAAATCTCTCAAAAGTGTGTGCTTTTACCAATAACTTCAGAGGATGAATAGATGTTTTCTCTGAAGAGTTGGAGTTTACTTAGCTAAAGAAAACTAAGAGGAACTTCCATGCCAAACTCTCTGGTATTGTTGAACCTCTACTTTAGAAGGTTCTTCCTACTCTTCTACTTCCTGCTCTGGAAGTGATTCCTCCTCCATCTCCAGTTCAGACTACTTTTCTTACCTTTGAGGTTACTTTTGAAGTTGGAAGTGACTTTGGAGTCAAGAAGAGTTTGGGTTATAAGGAATACATTTTGAAGACCTTGGAGCATTTGGCGGTTGATAATTCTGAAGTGAAGGACATCAAAGATAGAAGGGATGCTTGGAGAGATCTTATCAAGACTGTCACCCCCTCCTAACCCTTAGTTTTTAAAACTTTGTGTTGTCTTTGTTTTCTTTCTTTTCATTTTTGTATCTGCATGATGATTTTGATGAAATGAAGTTTATTTTTGTCTTTATCCTTATTTTCTTTTTGAATGATGACAAAGGGGGAGAAATAATGATTGCTTTTGATATATCTAATTCATTCTAAAACCTAAATATGTTTCTAACTGTTTTCTGACCTGGTAATATGATTGAGAACTTTGAGAAAGTTCATCATTTTGACCAAGTGTTCAGGTTCTAAGGCACTAACCTAACTAAGACCACAAGGATTAGACTTATGTTCAAGAACTAAGTTATTTAGCCAGACTAAGAGGTCAGGTTGAAACAAGTTCTAATTATAACCAGACCTAAGTTATTTAACTAGACTAAGAAGTCAGACATCTGAAAGCTCTGACAAATCATGCTCTGTGACGAGGTTGGTAACCAGACTTTTTGATACTCAAGCAAGGATTCTAAATGAAATACTTTTGTACCCAAGCTGTTGCATTTTGGGAAGTTACTTCACCCATTATAACTAGGATTTTTCCTCATGGGAAGATAATAACCAGGCTTCTGCCTGATAGAAAGTAGTAACAACCAGGCTTCTGCCTTATGGGAAGTTATTTCTTTCATGTTGTTTGAAATGTTTAAATGTGTTAAGATTATTTTAAGTCTTAAATTCAGGGGGGTCTTGCAAACCTAATCTAACATTCTAAGTTGAAAAATAATTTTTAACAGTATAAAATTTAGGGGGAGCTTACAAACCTTACTTTGATATTTTTTGTGTGTGATTAAACCAAGTAAAAATTGTTCACAAAAAAACATGGTTTTGTCATCATAAAAAAGGGGGATATTGTTAGAAAAAGATTTGGTTCTGAATCTGACCTTTAGTTTTGATGATAACAATGCATTGTTTCTTAGAGAATAATTTTGCACCCTTAGTTTTTGTCTAATGTGTAGCTTTTACTAAACAGGTTATAACTCTAAAGCTTTGATGTATTACATCATCAAACTCTGGAATCACCACACTTTGACTCTGAAGAGATACAAGTGCTTTACAAGATGTTGTCTAGTTCTAGAAAGTTGTTAGACAACGATTCTGAAGAACGTTTATGCTAAAGCTTTTGACTGTGACTCTGATTGAAGAGCCTCTAAGGGATTGTCTGCCTTTAAGATTCTGCTCTCAAGTTCTGAGACTATGAAGAATAAGATCTGAAGACTCTAAAGACCAGGTTCTGAGTTGTGTCAAGACTCTAAAGACCAAGGTTCTAAAGATTCAACATTATTTTATCATAAGCCTTTGAATATTAGAAGATAAGATCAAAATATTTTACGTCAGGAAAATAGTACACAATACAAGATCACCCTTTCCTCCACTACCCTGATTTTGTATGCTAAGGACAATACTATTATACCATTTTGCCTCCTATATGCAAAGAGTTATGAAAGGAGACAACTTACTATTCCATTTCTACCCTCTAACAAATCTTTTAACTGCCTATGTAAAGGATTCTTGGAAGATTGGAAAATGTTGCTAATGCTTGCCATTGCTTATGTTGTTGTACATACACACGTTTTGTTGAAGTAAATATTTTCTATGTATATTCTTTGTAAACACACATAGAATTTTTGCTCGTTATTATGTGAGATATTCTTTGTACTAATCTTATGTTAATCTGCTTTCTTAGAAACATTATTTATAAACACAACTTGTGAATCTCAATATTGTTTGAGTGGTTTTCTTGAGTGACTAGGTTTTAGTCGGATAGACTCAAGAAGACAAAGACGGTTTGTCTTTTTGGTGTCTGTAATCAGTTTCGGTTATAGTGGATTAGGTCTTGTTGAGAAGGCAAAATCACCTTCGTAGGGTGGATTGGAGGTAGCTTCGTTAGCGAACCAGTATAAAAATAACTTTGTTATTTTTCTTGTCTGTGTTTTTGCTTGATTGAGTTGGTTTAGAAAAAGCTTTTGATTTTAGAAACCCAATTCAAACCCCATTTTTTTGTGTTTCTTGCCGCCTTCATAATCACCATGAAGATCAACACCATGTCTACTATCAATCTGGCGAAGAATCTGATAGCGCATGGACGAAGCAACCACATCGAAATGAGGTTTCATTATCTTTGAGAGTAGGTGGCAAAAGCAAAGTTGAACTTGAAACATTGCAGAACTGAGAATCAGATTACAGATACCATGCCGAAAGGAGTGCAAGTCGTAGTATTCAAAAAAATAAGGTCTATGATGATTGTATACAACTTAGACACAATGAATTAGGTGGTGTGTTGAATTGTAATTCCTTGTGTCGAAGCATGTTACTCGACATAAGTAAGGAAGTGTCGAAATCGTGTAAGTGTCGAAATGTCGAAGTGTGTCTCGACAGAAATTTCAACTTAGATATAATTTTGTAGTGTTAGCAGTATTAAGTATTTTGTGTCTTGTTTAAGGAGCAAGCAAATCCAAAACATATAAATATGAAGTAACCCTATTATGATTGGAACTTGAAAAAGAACTTGTAATTGCAAAGAATAAAATCTCAATTTGAGAGCAGAGAGAAACTCTACAGAATTCACAACTCTTCTTGCCTTTCACGTTGAAACCCTAATCCATTTTCTTCTCCATTTTTTTTTAAAGAATAAAAAAATTCAATCGATGTGATTGAATCTTGTTCATCAAATTCTAGCAGAATTCTCCATATGTCTTAATAAATTTTCAATATATTCAACATAATCTTAAAGTGAGACTCATGAGTTGAGGTTAAATGAAAGCATAACTTTTAAATACAATTAACATTAATAACTTTTGATTCAAACATAATTAAAGACTGAATGACATCACACACGCACCACATAATCTTTTTACAAATCAGCTTATGACAGCAACATTTCTTACTCTTGAATCTTACGATTTTTTGACGTACCTGCCCTTGTTTGAAATTGTATATCCCACAATGCCCTATCTGAAAACTTAATTACAAGGATGCCCTGGTTTTGTGTGAGTTCGTCCTTTGATTGGACGAACCAGTGAAACCCAAGAGGAAGTTCGTCCTTCCCATGGGCGAACTAGTGAAGACGAATTTCCATGCATAAGTTCACCCATCCAATGGGCGAACATGTGAAGGAGTTGGTTTTTTTTTTGTTTTTTAATTTTTTTATTTTTTGTTAATTATAATTAAGATATAATGTAAAAAATTAATATTAAAACTATGTAAATAATTTTTTATTTTAATTTTTTTTTGTTAATTATAATTTTTTTATTTTTTGTTAATTATAATTAAGATATAATGTAAAAAATATGTAAATAAATTAATATAAATACTTTTAAATAATTTAATATTAAAACTATTTATATTATTTAGTATAAAAACTATTTAAATAGTTTAATATAAAAACTATTTTATTAATTTAATTTAAAAACTATTTTTTTAATTTAATATTAAAAGTATTTTATTAATTGAATTTAAAATTTTTTTTAACAACAAAATGACAAGATTAAATTAGAAGATTAAATAATTGACATAGTTCGGTCACGGAATGACCGAACTCAGACCTAATTTTTTTGTATAAATAAGCGTATGCCAATTTACTATCATTTGTATCAAGTCATCCGATTTACAAAGATGTCTGTGCAAGCTCATGTTTTCTATGGACCTGAGAAAAAATTAAGTGTTTACCTAGATCCGCTGTGGAATTTCAGAACCGTGGTCGCAGCAATTAACAATGGGTTTCGGCAGCTGGGCGGTCGTCGCGTGACGGTGAGAAAAATTGAGTATCGTTGTCCATATATAACGCTTACTGATGCTAGCCCGGAGGGGACGTACATGTACTACCTAGATCGCATAGAAAATGATGAAGATGTCCATTGCATGTTTTCAACACATAGTGGTGAAGTCAACAGAGGAGTCACAGATCCACTTGTGTTGGTCGCTGTTGTATGTTAGAGTTTATGTTAGCTTCATGAGTTTTATGTTTGTGTTTGTGGATTCACGGATCCACTTTATGTTTGTAGTTCGCTGCTGTTGTTGTAATTTGAAAGTTGTGTTGAATTAAAAATAATTGATTGATCAAATACAAAAGTAGTACAGTATAATTATCTATTCGGTCGGTTTGACGGACCGGCAACATTGGGACATTTTCTACGCATATGACCTATTTCTCTACAAATCCCACACCGTCTCTTCTCTTTTTCTACGTCGTCCATCTCAGTTCGGATTCTACTACTTTTTGGACGCCCCTTTTTATTTCTTCTCATTGAATCGTCGTGGCAGAGAGTGAAACCTTCATATTTTGGCCAATTCTCCTCGTGCGGTAGTCCCAGGAAGCTTTCCTTGTAGACCTTGAATACGTTACGTATTGTGAAGACCTCTGGAATGTGAATTACATAGTCTTGTCGTATGCTAGAACATGCCGCTATCACGTGGGAGCAAGGCAAGTGGAACGTTTGAAATTTTCCACAGTCACACCTACGATTCCTCAAGTCAACGCTGAAAGTACCCTTTGGACGACCATCGTTGTAATTAATCTTTTCTTGCACCATGAAACAGAATCTTTCCCGATCAAATTGCATGACATTGTGTGTGTTAGCCTTGGCTACCTCCTCGGCCATCCCCTTGTTACAACCATCTGTGAAAACTTTGCCTGAAGATAGCATTTTTGTCCATTTGTGTCCTCGTTTACCAAACAGTGAACCCAATCGATAATATGTAGACTGGACTAATGCAGTGATGGGAAGGTTTCTTGTGGCCTTTAATACAGAGTTTATTGCTTCTGCTAAGTTAGATGTCATGTGTCCCCAACGTTGTCCTCCGTCAAATGCCCTAGCCCACTTCTCCCTAGGAATATTGTCTATCCAATTTAAAGCCTCAGCGTTGGATCTTCTGATTTCTCCGCGATAATAATGAAATGAGGCCTCCGTCAATGCGTAACCTGTATCCGTCAATGCGTTAGAAAAAATGAAAAAAAAGTGCTTATATAATTTAGATAATCGAAATTTTTTCCTTACCCATGTTAACTACTAATTTTCGTAGAACCTTGTCCTTAATCTCGCGCATGAAGTTCTGAGCGATGTGTCTTATGCAGTAGACATGCGAAGATGGAGGATTTTGCCAACCGTTTTCTGGATTGTTGTATGCACTTTTTATCGATTCATGCCTATCAGATATGAGACATACATTTGGCTGTGGTGTCACGTGTAATCTTAGGTTCCTCAGAAAAAAACTCCAGGCTTCCTTTGTTTCTCCTTCGACCAAAGCAAATGCCACTGGGAAAATATTTGCGTTGCCATCTTGTGCCACCGCCGTCAATAGAGTTCCTCTGTACTTGCCATACAACCAAGTTCCGTCTACCTGCACAATGGGCTTACAGTATGCGAAACCATTTATACACGGACGAAATGCCCAAAACAGACGAAGGAAAGTTCTTTTTCCGGAGATCTGGGAACCATCACTTGATATGGCCGGTATGGTTTGCAAATCCATAACGGTTCCGGGAAGAAAGGTTTTCATTACCAGTAGCCACTGCGGTAGGTCGTTGTAAGATGTTTCCCAATTGCCGTAAAGCGACTCTACCGCCTTGCACTTAGCGATCCACGCCTTCCGGTAAGATATAATGTACCCGTATTTTTCTAGAATATGGGCAATGATCACTTTTACCTTAAGTGAGGCGTCGCTGTTTACAAGTTCTCTGATGCTATGGCTAACCATTTCTGAACTGAGCTTGTTATGGTCTTGTGCCATAGACGTTGTGGTGCATGTGTGAGACCCAGACAACTTACCAATCACCCATTTCGAGTTCCTTTGTCTAAATGAAGCTCTGCACTTGAACTTGCATTCTTCTTTCTTACACTTAATGACATATCGTTCATTGTCAGACTTACACACCCAATAGTCCACACAGTGTGTTATGTGCCAATGCTGCAGGGCGAGGATGCAGGCTTCCTTGTTTTCAAACTCCATACCTATATCAATTCCGTCTCCTATATGGCTTTGAATAGCATTTCCAAAGACAGAGGTTGTGTCGTCATATTCGGCGCAAATATTTTGCATGTGTGTCGGCGGGTTATACAAACTTACGGGTTGTGCGCTGATCGGTTGCGTAGACGGGACAACTATGTCTTCATCTTCATTGTCTTCGTCATCACTGTTACCAAAAATATCTTGCATTGTGATTTCCTCAAGAATATCGTCATCACTTGGTTCGCCCACCTCCTCATTGGGTATGAAAGGTAAATTATTTTGCGTTGGTTCGTCGTCGGATGTTTGGCTCATCCCGTACAAGTGTGACTGTGTTTCCTGCGTTGGAAATGTTTCGGGATTTTGTACTAGTCGGACATACACCTCAATTGTAGGTAATTGACCAAACATCATGTGGCACCGAAACATTGCCTTCACATCCTCGTTGGTTTTTATTGGCGTCATAATGTAGAATATCGTACAGTCGTTTTCATTTAGGGTGGGATGACGATAAATGATTTCCTCAACACAGCGTGCCAATTTGGTTTCCATTCTATCTTTAAAATGAAAAAAATCTGAATTGACATGAATTTTGAAGGCATATGTATCTGTATTGAAAAACGAGAATCCAATAGGAGTGTTTGTTGAAACAACACCGTTAAAATGGCATGTGGTAATTATGTTTCTCTGAGACATTTCGGATTGTAGGATTGAAGTTTTTTGAGAATGCTGAGAAGTTTAAATTTGTTTGTATTGCAAGATGGAGTGTTAATGAGTTTGAATGTGAGTAGGAATATTGGTATATAAGAGATGTTTGTAATACCATGCAAAGATACATTCAACGAATATAAGTGTGGAAGAGTGGTAAATCTAGGTAGAATGAGTTCGTCCAAGACAAACACGAACATGCTAGGTTGACCGTTGGTTCGTCCAATCCATGGGCGAACTTCTTCACGTGCTATGTACTAGTTCGTCCTTCCCATGGGCGAACATGTGAAGGAAATGCTTAGTTCGTCCTTCCCATGGGCGAACATGTGAAGGAAATACTTGCTTCGTCCTTTGCATGGGCGAACATGTGAAGTCTGCAGCAGAAAACTAGGGTTTCACGTGAAGTGAATGCATGCGTGTTGTGTAAGAAGCTAGTGTCAAGCTAGTGTTGCATGCATGGTAGAAAACCCTAGTGCCATGCAATGGTCTTGTCACATTTTAATTTTCAAAATACTTAAAGTAAATATTAAAGTTACATACAATCTACTATAAATTCGTTTTTACATTCTACAAAATTTACACACAGTTTTACATTCTCTCTACTATCTAGCAATTATCACATATATTTCTCTACTATCTTGCAATTTTACCCGACTAAAATGGCATTGTTATGGATGGGCGAAGACCACCGTGGTACTCAACAAAATATCAATAATAGTGTAAGTTCTATTGTCATATATTGTTGTATATTGCTCTTTGTGAATTTATTTTTTCGACATAAAAATCGTGACTAATTAATGTTGGTTTAATATTGTTACAGATTAATGCTCCGAGGTTTAGGGTGCATTCACATTCTCCGGTTCAAGCGAATGCAAGAATAATGCCTTATCTTGAAATCGCAGGATTCGCAAACATTTCAAAAATAAACAGCTTGAAAATTGACTCAAGCTTAGTTCTGGCTCTGTTGGAGAAGTGGAGACCAGAGACGCACACTTTTCACTTGCCAACCGGTGAATGCACCATAACCCTAGAAGATACATGTATGTTACTAGGTCTGCGAGTTGATGGCAAAGCTATCAACGGTCCCACCGAGGTAACAAATTCTGTTTACATGGATTACTTGGGGAAGGAACCAACAGAAACAGATAAAATGAAAGGTTTTGTTAAAATAACTTGGATTGAGAGTGAATATGAAAATTTAAAAAACATAGATAGACCCACACAAGAAGATGTTTTATTAGAAGCTAAACTTTTTATTTTGCTCGTGATCGCAACGGTTTTGTTTCCTGACAAAACTCAAAACCTTTTGCATTCATCTTGGGTCCCTTTCGTGGGGGATCTCATTAAGTGTGGAACATATAGCTGGGGTTCTGCATGCCTTGCAAAATTGTACAGAGAAATGTGCAAGGCAGCAGAAAAAGATGTTAGGAGCATGAGTGGTTGTGCTCTCCTACTAACATCTTGGGCATTCACACGCATCCCATTGTTCGCTCCTATCAATACTGTGGAACCATCGTTTCCATATGCACAAAGGTATTTTCGTAACACTCATATTTATGTACGTAATATATATATATTTCTTATTCAACTATGTCTAACAATATGAATGTTTTTTTTGGGTTACACAAGGTGGACACAAAGGGGAATGAATTACCGTGCAACTCCTCGCTTCCATCTACAAGGATATCGAAACGTGTTGGATCATATGCAAGAAAAAGATGTAAGTTTTAAACCAATTGAAAATAGTGGTCGGCTCTTCACATTTAAAGTTATCTTAATTTTATTTGTTATGTGACAGTTTATATGGAGGCCGTACATTCAGTACCCGGTGCCGCGTCTAGAAGATAGCCAAATCTGGAGTGCAACAACTTACCTTGTCTGTTTCTACATCATTGAGATGCATCAATCAGATAGGGTAACACTCCAGTTTGGATTTGACCAACAGATCCCTCCACTTCCTAGGTGCTTGAAGGAACATCACGCAATTACGATGCGAAAAGCGCAAAAAGTTCATTGGCAACAGTTACACAAGGACGAGGTGCGAGAATGGAAACATAGAAGAGATGTGATTTTGCAGGGGGGCGCTATATTTGGTGAACGCAAACCAAGTCAAGAATATCTAACTTGGTTCCGCGCAATTCCTTATGTTCATGTTGCTCCAGATCAATTTCTAACCGACCCACGGACGCAACCATCATCATCGACACAACAAACTCCCGCATCAATGCATCAGCATGTCCCACCAACCCAAACCTCTCAATTTGGGGGGTACCCATCCTCTTCAGCTCAACCTAACTATAACTTCCCCCAGTTCTCCCAACAATATCAGCCCCAACCCTACCTCCGACCACCCAGACAGTTGACCCCATGCACAGCCCCCAACTTTCAGCAGAGCAACCCTTATGTCCAATATCCTACAAATCCTACCTTCAGCACTACCTTCTCTCAACCCGCCTTCACGCCCGATGACGTATACATCCCAACCATGCAACAACCCCAAGCCGATACATACCCACAACCACCACAACCATCACATTCATTTCAACATTTTTTACTGACAGAGGAGCAACTGACGCAAATGCCAGATTTTAACATCGAAGATATTCTAAATGATGATGAATCAGGACCCTCTTCAAGGCAGACAATCCCCCCGAGAACACATCATAATGAAGATTTGTCTTCAGACTCCTCTCAATCAGCTGCAAACGAGCGTTTGGGCAGAGGATACCGACAGCGAAGGCCCCCTAGGTGTGGAACTGGAGGTCATCTCCGATGAGATGTGTATTTATTTAATCAATTAAATTTTTGTAATTTAATCTTCTAATTTTATTGTTGTAAATTATTTAATCAATTAGTAAAATTGTTTTTAAATTCAATTAATAAAATAGTTTTTAAATTCAATTAATACAAAAAAATTTAAATTCAATTAATAAAATACTTTTAATATTAAATTAAAAAAATAGTTTTTAAATTAAATTAATAAAATAGTTTTTATATTAAACTATTTAAATAGTTTTTATACTAAATAATATAAATAGTTTTAATATTAAATTATTTAAAAGTATTTATATTAATTTATTTACATATTTTTTACATTATATTATTTAAATATATCTTAATTATAATTAACAAAAAATAAAAAAATTAAAAAACAAAAAAAAAACCAACTCCTTCACATGTTCGCCCATTGGATGGGTGAACTTATGCATGGAAATTCGTCTTCACTAGTTCGCCCATGGGAAGGACGAACTTCCTCTTGGGTTTCACTGGTTCGTCCATTCAAAGGACGAACTCACACAAAACCAGGGCATCCTTGTAATTAAGTTTTCAGATAGGGCATTGTGGGATAAACAATTTCAAACCAGGGCAGGTACGTCAAAAAATCGAATCTTACCAACACACTCTGCTTTTTAAATGTATTTTTGTCTCATACAATAAATCTTGCGTGTGAGACGCTAATATAATCCCTTGTGTCACGTTTTCTCGCTGTTTATGTTTGCATGTGCACCGTGTACTTGTCCCTTCAATGTAGCAACATGTTACTACCATCTTGACACACTCTATTGTCTCTTGACAAGAAACTGATGATGCAATTCACCGACACAACCAACACTACTCGTGTCTTAATACTCCTATATCAAATGTATCTGGTCCAAATCTATGCATAATACATTTCATTTTTTCTTTCTTATATTTAAAATAAAATCAAATTTATTGGCTTCTTTAACACTTTTCATATTTTTATTGACTTTTTCCTTTTTTTTGTCTTATCAGTTAAATTTTTCTATGGTGAAGAAATTTACATTTCTTAAATATCTTTGAATGCTTAATCTATAATTTTTTTCCACAATTTATTTTCAAAAAGGAAATTAACCATCAACAATTAATTTTTCTGCTTCTTTTTCTTACATTAATTGAACAACTTTTTAAGTTAAAAAACTTCATAAACTAAACAATTTTTTTTCTTTCATTTTTGGTTGCTACATAATGAAGGAGTATACTAACAACTTAATTAATAAGCTACTTAAGCCTACTAAAATAAACATGTACTCAAAACTAAAATTATGGATTCTTGTGAATGATCTTGTTCATCCCAAATTGCCTTAACCTCAACTGCATACCAATATGTGCAGCCAAAAAATCAACACACTGAATTGGACTAAGAACATCCAAAACTCCTTTAAGTGTCTTAAGTCTAACACAATCAGCACTTTTCATTACTTTCTCCAAACCACCAAAAACTCCTTTCAAAGCCACATCAACCAACCCATCAACTCTTGCATCATCTTTCCTACCTCTGCATGAGATTTTCGCCAGCTTCACCATCTTCAAATCTGCCATAGCCACTTGCTGTCTCTCCATCTCTCCCTCCACTTTCTCTTCCTCCATCTTTGTCTTCATTCTCAGTCCCTCTATCTTCTTCTTCTGTTCGTCCGTCATGTTGAACTTCTCGAGTATGCGAAAGATTGTAGACGGTTTCCACCCGGTTATCCAGAGGTGAGAGTTTTCCAATGGAGTAACCCATGTTGGTGAAAAGAAAACCGCAACATCTTCATGTGCTGCACTCCATTTCACAGTGTAGTATTCTTTCAAATGAGTCGTGACTTTTGAAACAAGTCCTTGAAGCTCTTGCTCATTCATAAGCATCTCTCTTTTTGATACTTTCAGAAGCTGTTGATGAATTTCCTCTAACTTCAAAATCCATTTCTGGTAAAATTCAGAGAAACTCTTCTTCATTTCTTGTTCAGTTGTTTGTTGTTGTTGCTGTTGTGTATGGGATTGTGTGTTGATTTATGGTGAGATGAAAATTGAAGGAGGTGAAAGAAAAATAACAGATGGAAAGATAAGAGAAAGACACGAAAGATAAGATAAAGAGAGTAGTGAGCAATGCATTTGCATGGATTACGCGCAGCAAAATGGGAACAAGTGGGATTGACGCATTGCAAGAAGAGAGAGAGACATATATATATATATATGAATATGAATGTGTGAGCGTATCATGCAGCTTTATAGTATCAGCCTTTGACTGTATTGAAGGGGCATGGTGATGAGGGTGGAAAGGTAAATTACTAATTTAATATTTTTTTTCTAAGTCACCTGAATGTTTGTTTTTGTGTGGTGTTGGAGAGAGAGGTACGTGTCTTTGTGTGAGGTTGTTGGGAGTCCACGTGGAGTCTGATTAGGCAGAGGGAGTGTGTCATTGCAAGAATATGCTGGGTAATATCCACCTCTTTGAGGTAGAATAGAGCTTTTCCTAATACACCTTTTTTTTTTAATGGTGTGAAGTGTTTCACACGAATTTTGTCTTTTGTTTTAATATAAATGATAAAGAAAGAGGAAGATTTGTTTTATTAAATATTAGTATATTTATTATTAGGATTAAAATTATATATATATATATATATATATATATATATATATATATATATATATATAATAGGTTTCATAAATAAGCCTTACAAATATAAAAATGTCAGTGAATTTTTTTTATGAAAAATAATACTATATATGAAAAGGGGTGAAAAATCACTAGAATACTATTAAGCAGAAATATAAGATATGTCAAATGCAATTAAATATCAAAAGAATGAATAGAAGTATAATGAAAGTTAAAACAATCCAATTTGCAAAACATGTGGCCATAAATAAAGATATAAACTACTAAAGTCTACTTTGTTGGCAGAATATTAGATCTTAAACCACCAGATTCACTATCAACAAAACAGATAACATCAATAGAATATCAATAAAACCAAAAACAAAAACTTATCTTGTGTTAAGGCAAACATTCAATTCGCTATAGGTGCAAGTACACGATAGAGTTCTGAAACAATTATGAGAATGTGCAAGAGTTCACCCTTGATCTATCCAGTAGCCGTTTTTAGACAAAAAAACTATTTTTCTCTGTCTCTATAGGTGATTTTGTGACTCTTTGAAAGATAACATCATTGCAGGCTTTTCAAATGAATCAGACTACAACATGTTAAATTAAAAGATAACTTCCTCTAATCTTATTCCTGCCTCCCAAAGAAAGAAACGACTCAAAAATCACCCTATGGTCATTAGGGATAATTGTCTGTCATCCCAACCACTTAAAGATATTATACCACACATACAAAACTAGCTCAAAAGTAACAAAGAGATGAGGATTCGCCTTGACCGAATTTCTACGCAACACTACTAGGATCTAGGATGATTCCTCTCTTGGACAGGTTAGCTCTAGTCAGTAATCTATCTTGCAAAAGTTTCAAAAAAATACCAATATCGTAGAGAGATCCCAGCTTATCACGATGCAGGGTAGAGTCTGAGAATTTGCTGAAATAAGAGCCGAAGAAGATGTTGAACTAACCCTTTGGAAGAAGAGGCAACATAAAAAAAATATATTCTATCTAGCATGCTTCCAAATCAACTTATCACTATTAATACATAAAGTGACATTAAAAAATGCATAGTTCTCTAAGAAATAAGAGTCTCTGCCACCTAAAATCTCAAGTTAAGACCCCATTAACCAGTAAGACTATCTCTCTCATCAATCCGTCAGTCTAAAAAAAGTTGGAGAACAAAATAAGAAACTTAGTCTTAAAAGGAATGATCCTTAACCAAGGGTCCTTCCAAAAAGAAGTATGAAATCCTAACTTTACTTTCCTAATGACACCGTTAGCAAATTAAGTTGAGTTATCATCCTCTTTAGACCCAATGAGAGAAACCCCATTTCCACCAGAAGGAAGAAGAGCAAAAAGCCTCGCTCCCTCCTCTCATCCCCCAAGGGAAGAAACAATTGTAGTTCCATATTTAACTACAAGTATATTTAACTAACCACTCAGAGATCCCTTACTCCTAATTCTTTTATGTTCTTAGATTTACAAACATCTTCCCACTTAATCTATGATATCTTTAAGTTAGTTTGCAAAATCTTAATTCAAGTATCACGTTAGGTTAAACATTATTACTCATATTTGAATCTAAAAATTCATTGTTATATGTATGAGTTTTAAGTGATTATCATCACTCACTTTAACAATTAAAAAAGTCACTAACAATGTTTTATCATTTGAATTTTTTTTGTCAAAAGTGGGTTTGACTCCATGATTAAAATAGAAAATACATACAAAAGTGAAGGGGGGAATAAGACAAAATTTCAAAATATAGCAAATTATAAAGTTAGAAAGTCCTACCTTGTTTTTATTGAAGTCAATACTTGCACTAAAATTTATACCATCCCACCATTTAAAATTAGTAAAAACTAAGCTTAAATTAGTTAGTTTGTCTATACATTGATTTTCTTTCTCTATAAATGTGAGTCACCAAACAAATTGATGGATTGAAGTGCTCTTGTACAATTGTGTCATATGTTCCTTAACTTTCAAGGTACAACAAATAGTTACTAAACACTAGCATCACTAGCTTGAAAAGAGTTTCTAACCAGAGTCTATTCCAATGACGAGTCATGGAATACTCTATTGCCATGATAGCACCCATGATATCAAGGAAAAAAATGGCATTTTCCTTGCCAGATTACAAGAAAAGCTACCCAAATAGTCTTTATTGTTATCCCTAAAAATCCTTCTACATGTTGCCCTGTTTGGTGTGCCACTAGCTGTACTATCTGTATTAACTTAACCCAATTCCTAATTGAGGGTTTGGTGGATGAACTTGCACACACAAAATTTTTGTATGAAGTCATCAATTGAAGCGTTAGCATGTTTGTTAGACATGTTTGAAAAATAACAACCACAAAAGAAGATTGTTAAGGAATCAAAGCATTTTGAAATCTCACCTGATTCCTTGCAGTTCAAATACAGTTTAGAGTGTGAATATTAGTATAGATAATTACTACCTTGCATTGTTGGGAACATGTGCAATCCATGGTTTTCCAACAATCTTGAATGCTGCAAATCGTTTTTGGCAACCAATGCCACAACTAATGCACGTGTCTGCAAGAGAATAATATATGGTGCATAGTATCCTCATTATCAAGACAAAGACTACACATTGATGGTAGGAAGAACATCCTAATACGAATCGTATCAACAATTAGCAACTTGTTATCACTTTGCCTCCAAAACATTAGAGATTTCTAAGGTGGAATTGCCCAGTTGATCCAGTTGTAAATGGTATCATTAAAGCTAAATTGGTGTAATGATAGAACATAGACAATTCCACCTTAAAAATATTTGATGTTTTGGAGGCAAAGTGATGGCAAGTTGCTAATTGTTGATACGATTCGTACCAACAATTAGGGCACTTGATCCAGTTGTAAATGGTATCATTAAAGCCAAATTGTTTTAAGACCTTTAGCCTATAAAACACGAGTACTTCATTTTAGACAAAGTATCGGTAACGAGTATCGGGTACCGGTATACGTACGATACTCGTATGGTACGTACCGATGCCGTATCTAAATTTTTAATTTTGTTTAAGTCGACAATCTAGCGGATACATATTAGGTATGTGAAATCAATTTTTTTTCTAAAGGTATAATTTTAGGCTTTTTTATTGGGTTTTTAAAGTGTTGATGTAGAGTTTGTCCAGTTTGATTTGTTGCAAGATCGATTTATCTTAAAACCAAAGGAATGGTGGATAACTTCAATCTCTAAACTTCAATCCATTGCATTGAAACTCCTTACACAACCAAAATTTTCAACTTTTGCTAAAAGAAATCATAGCATATATGAATTTATTCACTCATTGAAAAAGAATAGACTTAATCCAAATGGATTGACGATTTAGTTTTTGTTCATATAAATCTTCATCTTCTCTTGATAAAAAGTAAGACTTATAATAAAGGAGCAACAAAAATGTGGGATATTGGTGGAGATAAATTGGATATATTCAATGAAGCTAGTATTCTTAAGGTTGTTAATCTTTCTCTGGATGAACTAGAACTAGAAGTCGCTCTTTTTTATGATGTTGAAGAAGAAAATATTGATATTCAGTCGTGATTCCATAATTAATTAACAATTTTAAAGTGTGATTTATTTGTTATTTAGAAGATATTGACTCTTATTGAGCCAATTATTTTTTTAATTTTAGTATTTTGTTGTCATTAAACAATCACTATGCCAAAAAAGACCTTTATCAGCATTTTTTGGCCTTTAGCAGCGCTTAAAAGCGCTGCCAAAAGTGGCGCTGCTAAAGGTAAAGGCAACGCTTTTTTATGGAAAAAGCGCTGCTAAAGGCTCCCTTCAGCAACGCTTTTAACAACGCTTTCTTAGCCCTTTAGCAGCGCTTTTATAAGCGCTGTCTATTCCCCCCAACCCTCCCCCCTTTAGCAGCGCTTTTACAAAACGTTGTCTTAGACCCCCCCTTTAACAGCGCTTTTATAAAGCGCTTTCTTAGCCCCCTTTTAGCAGTGCTTTTATAAAGCGCTGTCTTAGACCCCCCTTCCCAACCTATAGCAGCGCTTTTGTAGCGCTCTCTTTGTAACCTTTAGCAGCGCTTTTTTGTAAAAGTGCTGTCTAATCTCCCAGATTTAAATTTTTTTTTTAAATAATCACACTTTTTATATATTTTTCAACAACCTGCTTATATTACATTCCCTGCTTATAATTCAGGCATTTATTTCAACACTTTGGCCTTATATATACAATTCAACACTTTGGCCTTTAAGTATACATTGTAATTCATCACTTTGCCCATAATCATTTTAATACACATAAACCTGCTTAAATATATTACAACATAATCTGATCCTCAGAATTACAACATCACAAATACAGTCAATTTACATATAATTA